TGTGTGTGTGTGTGTGTGTGTGTGTGTGTGTGTTATGAATACATTTTTAGATCTAATGTTTGCTAACATTCATGCAAACAAACAATCAATTTCCATGAAAAATAAGTGGGGTATTCATTACTAAGGCATGTTATAACAAAATCCACTATGGCCACCGTATCCATTTTTTCTCAAATTTGATTGCAGATTTTAAGACTCCTTATTGTGCTTGCTATATGTGCGAAATTTGGTAAAATTTGGTTTACTGATAAACGAGATAGCCTTCAGATTTAGTCCCCCCCCCCCACACTTTAAGTAAGTTTGTACAGTGTTTAAGGCCATTTGTTCTCATCACATCACATAAAACACTCATTTGATAAACAGATTTTCCATAATGAAAAAGTACAGGTTGTGCACATATCTCTTATCATGGGTCAAACATTGCATATTATTTTTGTCACTGGGCCGAGTCAGGCTGGGAGAAATGAACAATTTCCTTTGATGGACAAAGTGTGAATAATAGCAAATAAAGTGAATTTCATTTCCAATTTCATGAGAGTTACACCTCTGGCATAAGGGAATAATGAGAGATGGAGTTTAGGGAAATAGTTATTGCCTACTCAGTGTTTTGGATGGTAACGTTAGTCATATCAGTGAACACAAAATTAAGAACTCCGAAAGCGTAGGTATGGTAAATCCTTTTGTATGGATGCGAGAGCTGGACTCTAGACAAGTACACAGACAGGTGCTGAAATGTAGCATTTACGGAGAATAATCAGAATCTCATGGACAGAGAGGAAAACAAATGTTTGTTATTTGTTTTAGTAAGTGTTTTACGGCGCTCGCATCTGCATCTGCATAAGGTCATATTATGAGCACATGGGACAAATTACGCAATATCACTTTAAAAGGAATTTTGAATTTTGCTTCGGTGGCGTCCGAAGCCTACTCTTGTCGATCTTAGGACCACCAAGGGATCTTTAACGTACGCAACGTGTACATGGGTCCTCTGAGAAATTTTGCCCTTATCCGAGAAGGCTAGGTGCTGGGGATCTTACCTACCAAAAGATCAGGGGTGTAGCTGAAAAACAGCAGTAGCAGTAGAAAGTCTGCAGAAAGAGCCAGGAGCCCAGCGGAGAGGGAAAACGGGTGGGGGGGGGGTCAGAAAGTGGAGACGAAGCAGACGAAAGAACATGCTTAGAGAGCAGGAAACTACGTGAAATGATACATTTTTTAAAGAAATGAGACCATTTTTTAAAAGAAAAATTATTCCGTCGCTATCAGGTTTCGAACCCGGGACCTATTGAATGAGGGGCGAACACAGTAACCTCTAGTCCACGAGATTCCCAGGAAAACTAACAAAGAAGTGCCCGAAATTACAAGATGTGAAAGATCCATAATAAGAGTCATCAGAAAAAGAATATTGATGAGATTCTGTGGCCACATAAATAGATCAAAAGGACAAGAGAAACTACTGCTGTGTGGAAAGGTAGAGGGAGAGAAGAGCAGAGAAAGACACAGAACAACATACACAGATGACCTGAACAATTTTGTAACAATAAGACAAAGAGAAAACCGAGCTGATCAAGAAGACATACAACAGGAAGGAGTGGAGTACCAGGATCGTTAGTGTCTACTCCAGTCCTTGAACTTGAAGGAGAAGGAGCAGGAGGAGGAGGAGGAGGAGGAGGAGGAGGAGGAGGAGGAGGAGGAGGAGGAGGAGGAGGAGGGGGAGGAGGAGAAGAAGAAGAAGAAGAAGAAGAAGAAGAAGAAGAAGAAGAAGAAGAAGAAGAAGAAGAAGAAGAAGAAGAAGAAGAAGAAGAAGTTGGCCTCATCTTCCTCTGCCTCAATGGTTAACGGTTTTTCTATTCCTTGTCTGACCACGTCAGGTGTGTCTGCCTCTAACAGCGACGCCCAGGCCGACATCACTTACCTGAACAAGTACAAAACCTGCTTCCAGAAAGTTGCAGTCTCCCAGTGTGAGTAATAATGATAATAATAGTAATAATAATAATAATAACAATAATAATAATAATAGTAATAATAATAATAATTATAATACAATAATAATGATAATAATGATAATAATGATAATAATGATACTAATAAGGATATCATCATCATCATAATAATGATGATGATGATAATAATAATAATAATAATAATAATAATAATAATAATAATAATAATAATAATAATAATAATAATAATAATAATAATGATGGTTATGATAATTACAATAATAATAATAATAATAATAATAATAATAATAATAATAATAATAATAATAATAATAATAATAATAATGATAATAATAATAATGATAAATGACATTTATATAGCGCTCAACCCCGATTAAAGTACACAGGCTCTGAGCGCTTTACAATACGACGTACAACAGTAAGAAAAAACGTTGTGTTCTGAACAAAACAAAATCTCTCTAAATATTCGTCTTATCAATCTAAAAACAGAAATTATGACATCAGCTGATATTTGATTGAATCAAAGGAATTGACCAATCTTAAACTACTTGGCAAAGCATTCCAGATCTGGGGGCCTTGATATTCAAATGGCCTTTCACCCATTGTTTTAGGTATATCATTATTGTAATAGAATTTTCTTTTTGTCAGTTGGTGACCTCTGATCTCTGGCTGACACCTTTGTGATCTTCTGCACAAATGTGACCTAATTGTGTTGCATGTGCCGTAAAACGCTTACTAAGACAAGAACTCTTCCCGCAGGCATCCAGGCTTCGCTCATCGCAGCACTGGCCAGCAGGGAGTCCCGGGGCGGATCTCTGCTCAAGGACGGCTACGGGGACCATAAGAAGGCCTGGGGGATACTGCAGGTTACCCACAACAAATTATCTTTTACATTACATTTTACCCCTACTTTTTTCCATAGTGTTTTACGGCGCTTGATCCTCGTGTTAAAGCCTTGCACTACCCGCTCATGCAGCATACCAATTTAAAGCTAAATAAAGTCTGCAACATTTGACACATTAATATTTCACCTAAGTTAAGAGACGCCGAGAGATATGGTAACTCAAAACTGACCTTTAAAAAATCAGGCTTGGCAAAACTGTGCGAAATCATAGAAACGTAAAAATATGTTCGTGCGTAAATTGAGATGCATCAAAATTGGTTGAATGGACGTGCATTGAATATCAAATGAAAAGAGAATATTGTTTTCTTTACAACGAACACCATCTTCTGGTGATATTTTCAAACAGATTGGAAAACAGAGAAGTTACAAATACCAGGCAAAATCTGGACTTAACAGTGACAATTAGTTTTAATTTGTTTGCTTTTTTAAGGAGCTATTGGTTTCGTGTCGAGCACGAAATGTGAGGCAGCGTGGTGGAATCAGGCTCTCGTCAATTTTTTGGCACATAGAGTTGTTGGTATCATCTTAAAGCTTGTTCACTTGTCTTTTTTTGGTTGAAAAAAATATCCATTTATCTTGAATACAAGTCGAGATATTTGCGAATGAAGGAGGTGGGGGTCACCTGTTTTCAGGGGTAAAATTAGTGAGAAAATGGCCGCCAAAGATTTGTTTTTTTCTTAGCTTAAGAGTCCGTGGTAATTAAAAATTTACATTTTTGTGCCTTTAATCAACATTTTTACTGAAAAATCCACTCAGAAATGAGTTCTTTAAAGGGCATGAAAGATGTTGAGCCAAAAAACTAAAATTTGATGAAAATTCACAAACTGCGGAAAGATGCAAGTTTCTTCACTTTGATTGTTTTGACGAGAGCCTGATTCCACCACGCTGCCTCACAAATCATTTTTTGCACATGGACATGGACCGTGTTTATTAGATTTTGGACATAATCCTCTCTCAGTGAGGAACAGAGGCCACGAAACTGCCATGGTTTTGGGTGGTCTTGGGTGGAATGAACAGAACCGCCCTCGTGAGAATCATTCGATGGCTTGGTTTAGTGGACTATATGGCGCAAGTGTTGGAACGTCATGTCTTACCCTTCTTTTCGTCATAGTGTCATTCAAGTAGACATCTCCGTGTATAGCAAAGCATTTTCTCACAAGACCAATGCCAGAAGACCATTCTTTTGAAAACCAAATCAAATTAACGTTGGAGTGGTCACCAGTAAATACTCCCGATAAAAGATAAGATAAGATAAGATAGTACTTTATTATCCCAGAGGGAAATTTTCATTGGCTGCACAGGACCGTAAAAACACATGCAGGTATACATTTAAAATATTTAAATTATATACATTACTCTCATTAAAATTCAATATGAAAGGAGAAGTAAAGCTGACAAAATGTACATTTACATCAAATGCATCATTCAACCACATGCAGTTATTTAAATACTAGATCTTTGGAGTTATATATAGATACATACTCTAAGAGCAACACACATCTATGCTCATTCTGATAAAAGCCTTATGCTAGATGGTAAAACACTTCTTTTATATCTTTCTTTCTTTGTTTTTGGAGGTACATATCTGCCGCTAGGTGATCCCGATAAGAATCCTACAGGTATGTGAAGTCCCATCAAGCCAGAGCTGAAGAAAAGCGACTTTGCTCCCAAACTAGACCCCTCGTTTGCAACCTCTTTGACATTTGGGATGAAATGACAAATAATTATATCCAAAATTTAACTGTCGATGCCCAAAGGGTTCGTGGACTACACAAGACCAATGGCTTCTAAGCAAAACAACAATTTGTACATTTACCGTTAAGTCCAAGTGTTGCGTGGTATTTGCGATTGCTCTGACTGCCGTTTTAAAAAAACTATATAGAGACAAAACATGGCAGTAAAATGGTGTTTACTACAGAGACAAATATAAATTCTCCATTCATTGGATATGCAAGGTATGTCCATTCTATCAATATTAATGCTCCTAAATATACGCAGGAAGACAATTCTACGTTTCTTTGATTTTGCTCAAATTTGTCAAGTCTGATTTTTAAAAGTCAATTTTGAGTGACCATATCTTGGGCGTCTCTGAACGTAGATGAATTATTAAGTCAGATAATGTAGAACTTATTTAGCTATACATTGGTATGCTGCATAAGTGGGTAATATAAGGTTTCAACACAATTATTTGGTGATTATATTTTCAAGTTTCTTTTGGACGCTACCGTATATATGTTTATATATTACATCTGTATACATTTTCATATAATAATAATAATAATAATAATAATAATAATAATAATAATAATAATAATAATAATAATAATAATATTAATAATAATAATATAATAATAATAATAATAATAATAATAATAATAATAATAATAATAATAATAATAATAATAATAATAATAATAATAATAATAATAATGGATTGCATTTTTATAGCACATATCCACTTATGCAATGCTCTATGCGCTTAACATGAAACATGGATTTACAAATAAATTTTATAGGCACATAGTATAACATATGCGTGCACACACATACTCACGTACGCACGCACCCACTCACACACATACATACACACATACATACATACACACATACGTACATACGCACAAACAAACTCACGAAGATCTACAGCTTGGACAGTTTCTGTCTAATCGAAGTATGATGAAAATGGAAATGCTTTTAGTTTTTTTTTCTTCTAATTTCTAGATTTTCTGCTTCAATGATAGTTTTTGGAAGCCTCTTCCAAACAAGTGGGGTAAAATATGAAAGAGAGCGTTGGCCATATGATTTGCAATTTATTTTAGGTTTATATATTTATATATATATATATATATATATATATATATATATATATATATATATATATATTTATATATATATATCTATCTCTCTCTCTATATATATATCTATCTATCTATATATATCTACTCTATTCTATTATCTGTATTAACACACGGACACAAACACACATACACACTCTCACACACACACACACACACACTTACACACACACACACACACACACACACACACACACACACACACACACACATTTTGAGACATTTCGAAAGCTCCCTAACCGTTGTGACAAGTGTGAGCTAAGACATACACAGCTAGTTGCTTGATATACCATATTCTATTATCCGTATTAAAACACATCGGACACAACTACACACACACACACACACACACACACACACACACACACATACACACACACACACTCACACACACACACACACACACACACACACACACACACACATTTTGAGACATTTCGAAAGCTCCCTAACCGTTGTGACAAGTTGGAGCTAAGACATTCATAGCTAGTTGCTTGATCCCCGCAGTGTGACATCAAGAAGTCCGGGCTGAACTGCAAGTCTTGTGGCTGGGACAGCTGCTGTCACGTAGAGATGATGGTGAGGGACATATTGGTGCCCAACATCAACAGCGTGAGTACTTGGAGGTTTTTGTTCCGGTTTTACCAAAGATTTTGAGTACTTGGAGGTTTTTGGTCCACTTTTATCAAAGATTCTGAGTACTTGGAGGTTTTGGTCAAGTTTTATCAAAGATTCTGAGTACTTGGAGGTTTTTGTTCTAGTTTTTCCAAAGATTCTGAAAAAAGGGTGAAATGGTATAGGTTTAACGCCCCTATCAACACTATTAGGTTATTTAAGGGGCGGGACCTCCTAGTTTAACGTCCGTCTCCGATAGGCCAGAGCAAAGTGGGAAGTTCGTGTAAAGTGCTTTTCCCAAGGACACAACGTCGGACCGAGCTGAGGCTCGAACCCCCGAACTCGGAATCTCACGATTACGAATCTGGTAGCCTAACCACTAGGTTACCGACGCCACTAAGATTCTGAGTACTTAGAGGTTTTAGTCCAGGTGTACCTAAGATTCTCCCCACTCTTTAGTTGTGATTCCATGGTTCTTGGTTTTACGGCACTTGTTTTATGTTTAAGTAGAGGTTTTACGGCGCTCGCAACTGCATAAGGTCATGAGCGCCAATACGGCACTTGTGATAGTAGTAGTAGTAGTAGTAGTAGTAGTAGTAGTAGTAGTAGTAGTAGTAGTAGTAGTAGTAGTAGTAGTAGTAGTAGTAGTAGTAGTAGTATTAGCAGTAGTAGTAGTAGAAGTAGTAGTAGTTGTTGTTGTTGTAGTAGTAATTACAATAATAATAGCAACATTAATAACTACAATAATAATAATAATAATGTTAGTAATAATAATAGTAATAGTAATAGTAATAATAATAATAATAATAATAATGGTAATAATAATAATAATAATATATTATATATAATAATAATAACAATAATAATAATAATAATAATAATAATAATAATAATAATAATAATAATAATAATAATAATAATAATAATAATAATGGTACCTTTTCCGCCCGTTGGGCAACTTCTATTGATTCTGTTGTTGTTGTTGTTGTTGTTGTTGTTGCTGTTGTTGTTGTTGTTGTTGTTGTTGTTGTCGTTGTTGTTGTTGTTGTTGTTGTTTTTCTGGGCTCAACACCTTTTATACTCATTTTAAAATGCTTTTCTGCTGGATTGTACTTTTTTTAAAAAGGAAAAAAAAAGAAACTTTGATCAAAGGTACAAAAAAGGGTAAATTTTCAGTTTCCAAGAAGGCTACATCTTTAGAAGTCACCAAACCTTGGCATCCATTTCCTTGCAAATTTTACCTCTGGCACCACGCGACCCCTACTTCCTACAATCCCAAATGTCTCAACTTCTATTGAAGAAAGATGGGATTTTTTTTCATCAGAAGCGAAGGAAAAGAACAGGCTCTAAATAGTATTATACCAATAACTCCACACTCCTCAAAATTGACGATTTCACCGTGTTGTGACACAAATTAAATGTTGCAAGGGTCTCGAGTGTAACTATAATTTGATTTGTTTTGTCTCAGGTAAAACGCAAATTCCCCAGCTGGACGGATGCTCAAGCTTTGCAAGGTAAATATCATCTCTGTTACACACACACACACACATACACTCACACAAACACACACACATACACACATACACACATACACACACATATACACACACTCACATACACACACATCCATACACACACACTCATATACACACACACAAACACACACACATACACACACACACACACGCACACATATACACACACACATATACACACATACACACACACACATACACACACATACACACACTCACTCACTCAGAGTGCCCCGTAAGGCTCTGTTTGTATCATGCTGGACCACGCAGGAAATGGCTCTGGTTCGTTTCCCCAACGGGGCGTTGTGAACTTAAATTGGTTTGTCTGAAGGCCCTGTTCTCTGGCACGTATTTTGTTTTAGTAAGAGCTTTACGGCACTTGCAACACAATACGGGCATGTAGGTGCAGAAGATTAGACGTGTTACACGATTTTAACAAACATATAAAAAAAAGGAGAGATAAAGACTATAGATGTTTGATAGGAAAGAAGGAGCAAACCACACCAGAGCACCCGCCACCCCCGTCTTGGTACGTATTTTGATTCCGTATTACGTACGTATTTTACAGGTAAAAAAAAAAAAAAAAAGCATTCAAGAATACGGATCCCTCGCTCTTTCCCGTAACCGGTTCCATGCGATAAGTAATATGCACGAAATACATACACGTGACACGTACGTGGTTATGTAACTACGGATCGCGATGCCAGTTTTGGCGAGAATATGTACATAGCAAAGAGTCTACGCAACTAAAGGGGCCACTTCTCTCTTTGAGCCAATTAAAAAAGTGTCCTCAAAATTCGCTGGCGTCCTCTTCGCCAATGCACACCCTTTGCGAACAGTTACCTTACTTGTGTTTAAAAAATCAAAGTGAAACCAACAAGTTTTTGAGTATATAAGAATTCAAATTTCGGAAAAACGCTTTTTTAAAATGGTTACGTTGACAAAAACCTCTTCCAGAGGAAGGGGTGACTGTTTTCTTCGTTTAATTTGACTTTAGAGTGAAAGGCGAGAGGTCATTAAAATCTAAAAATACCTAAAACTCCGCACTGAATGAACCCGAACAGCTGATGAACAGTAGTCGATCTGCGCAGACAATTAGGTGCTATTCTTCTGGAGAAACGAAAGAGAGCTTCAAAACAGACTGCAGCGCCATCTGAAGCAAAGAGCGGACTTCCGCGGACACTTTTTTCGCTGAGTGGACCATCTTGTTATGCACTATCTTTGTACATACTTAGTTTGGCTCGAGCGCTCTCAGCCCCCC